AGGAGTTTCCCAGTTTAAGTTCTCTAAGGAACTATATTTTAACCATGTCTGGTGTGTAAACAACATACTGTAACACAAACACAATGCCCACAAACACTTTCAACACTCCTAAATCCTTGTCATGAGCAGATTAAGTTTGTTTTTTCTAAACATAAAACTTATTCCCAAAGCTCAAGAGCTGTTGTTTTCAGTAATTGTGGATGGTGCCATCAGCGTGAGATGATGTAACACTTCTCTAAGAGGAGTTTCCTTTTTTAAGTACAATAATAAGTCTATATTTAGGCATGTGGACTAGCAAAGCAAAAGGAAATGTCATCTTAACCGCATGAAGGAATCACGTAATTCAATGAATTGTAGCATATTTGCTGTAATAATCCTTATTGCCAGTAGAAAAAGTAGATTCATTTACAATTTAGTGCTTAGCTGTAAATGGAAATTTGCTGTTTGAATCTCTCTTCTCTGTCACGTGTACACACTGCTCAAGGAAAAGTGGCCTAGAGGAGAATCCTTAAGTAGCCGGCTACCATGGCAACCCGTAGGCCTGATTCTTGCTGAGGTAAAGCACATAAGTGTCTGTGGGCAGTTGATTACAACCTTATAAGGCATTTCTGAAAGCTGATATTGTTGAGTCATACGTGAGATGGCACATGCTTGCACTTCATACCTACAAGAAATGAACTGATATGTCTACTAATATAAAGTTAGCCTGTAAATGAGAGGTTATATATATTTTAAAATACGTCCTCTACAGCACTCATGATTAATATTTCTCTCTTTTTCAACGCAGGCTTTTTAGGTGGATTCTACAATGGTGCTAAATGGATCCAGGTAGATAAGCATAAGACAAATGAAAACCAGTAAACAACAAAAACCTGTGTTTTATGCTAGTCATGTTTACATTAAAGGGATAGTTCACCCAAAAATTAACACTCTGTCATCATTTACTCTCCCTCATGTTTGTTCAAACCTGTATGACTTTCTTTCTTTTAAAACATAAAAGAAGAAAATTGTGAGGAATTTTTCAAATGTATTTTGAGAAATTATATTTTGAGGAATGTTTCAAATGTCATGTGTTCCGAAACAAAATTGAACCACAGGATTTTTTGATGAATACTAACTTCTTTCCCAGTATGAGTAATTTTTGCCCTTTCTTACCCAGTATGAGTAAGTTACATTGGTGATTTACATGGTAAACGGCTGACCATTTGTGGTGCTTAATGAACAAATGCCCACATATTAACACTCCCAACACTCCACGCCTGTTTTTGCAAACATAAAACTAATTCCCACAGCTCAGGCATTGTTGTTTCAGCAGTTATTGATAGTACCTTCAGCAATTGCATTGACAAGTCATTTGTGAAAGAGCAACTTCTCTAAATTCAGTGTATTGACCCACCTCCAATCTCTCTGTGCTTAGAAAGTGGCCTCTTCTCAGTGCTGAATACGTAATGACAAATGGAGCCATTTACCTTGGAGTGAAGGGTTAAGTGTTTCTGAGGCATCTCCTTGAGGTGAAAGGAGATGCCTGAGGTGAAACACTGAAAAAGTTTGAAATGTCTGCTCACTGCAAATGTTGCAAGAGGTCCAGGTTCTTTCAGAAAGCTGGCCATTGGAGTCAATGGGTCTTCTATGAGGCATGGAAAGGCAATAAATAATGTAGCACCATATTCCTTTTTATCTCCCAAGTCCAAACACTGAGCTTACAACAAGGCCTGAAGCAGCTTAATACGTCTACAACCCTAAAAGTGGTGCAGCTTCTAATGTTGGATGGCAGCCAGTGGACGGCCAGAAGTTTCTAGCTCTCTATAGGTTGTATGCTAGCTGGAAAACTTTGAGGAACATTACATGAACAAACACAGAGAACCAAAAAACTCTATTTGTAGTACATTTCTGGAGCGATCAAACTATTGATTGTGTATTGTGTATTGAAGTCCACTGGCAAGGTGTTTCCTTATTTTGGTTAGGAATTATATTTTTAGAAACACTGAAAGGTTTTGGGTCTCTGTTCTAGTACTTTCAAGTATTCAATAATGTGAGAAACAGGTCCAGATCAATACAATTCACACACCACACAATACAGAAGGTTATCTTCACACTTCAGTAATCAGACTAGACATTCATATGATTATAAGTCACAAGTCGGGTTTATTGTTCATCTCTTTTTAAATGGAAATTCATTGTCTTGCCCTGTGACACTATGAATCACTTGTCAGGGCCTAGTGAATAGGAATAAGCACTGAAAGTGACAGCCTCATATGGGCAGTACTGAGTTAAATGGCAAAAGCAAACCATGGGAAATCGCTGTCCATAATGGAAAAGTGGCCCTGGTATCTAATTATAGACCTGGCATGGGGATGATGCATGCATAAACCACTCATGTAAACAAATAGAGCAGAATATGTCTCTTGACACTACAGTATCTCTGTAACACAGCTTGATTACACTGTTTTTAGTAAATCCTCTGTATAATGAAGAAATTGCTTTTGGTAGATGTTTGAGCCCTCTTTATCTGTAAAATATGATTCAAATTATTTTATTCAAAGCATAATGATTGATTTTGAAGACCAATTGAAGAAGTTCAGCTGAAGAAGCACAAGTGGCATATTTGGGAGGTGCCACAGATGATAACCAGACTGTCAAGTTTATGTCTGTTGTGGTTAACGCCCTGCAACCGCACTGTGAAATTCTGAGAAAAAAATACAAAGATAACAATTGAAATTGAAAAAAATTTAAGCAAATAAACAATTTAAATGATTGAAATCATTTAAAAATAGTTATATGACAAACTGAACAAGCACATTTACAGCGGGTTAGCTGGTTCAGTCCCAACACCAGGATTATGAAGATGAAACAAGGGTGGACATTTCAGCAAGACTATCCCAAACACCGCCAAGGAAACTCTCGATTAGTTTCAGAGAAAGAAAATAAAGCTGCTAGAATGGCCCAGCCAATTACCTGACTTGAATCCAATAGTAAATAAGAACCAAAGATCAGAGTTCATAGAAGAGGCCCACAGAACCTTTAAGATTTGAAGACTGTGTGGAAGAATGGGCCAAAATCACACCTGAGCAATGTATGCGACTAGTTTCTCCATACAGGAGGCGTCTTTACCAACAAAGGCTTTTGTATGAAGTATTAAATACATTTCAGTAGTTCAATACTTTTTCCCCGTGTCATTCCATTTTATTACACATAACTTAATTTCTGAACTTATTTGTTTTCTTTTCTTTGTATGGATTACTTGGGTTGTTACCGACATCTGGTGAAAATTTCAGAAAATTTCAACAGCACCTTTAGAAAAATATTTACTGAGAAAAATGGTAACGTGTTCAATACTTATTTTACCCGCTGTATAATGTATTTGAATGTATTTCTTATTGCATTGTACTCTTTTAGTAATTGTCCTGACCTCATCATTTATTGTACATAATGTATCTAATGCAAGACCCAGAGTATTTGAAAGGCTGTTAATGTGGCGTTCCCTGTCTGGGAGATTAATGATAAAGTGAGTGGCTGAAATAAAAGCACACCCTTCAAAGTTCTTCCCATACCGTGAGCTGTGATGGGGCCGGCACACAATGTGTGAAGTTTATGCTCCCTGCTGTTGCTGCTGACCTCCCCCATTCTCTTTGCTTCATTACACTCTTTTTGTGACCAAATAAACTTTGACAAATTAGTTTTTTCATCTTTAGTGCTATTGAGCTAAAGTGATTTTGACACACACATCCCGACTGTGACTTTGTTTGTCCATAGTGTCTCTTCAACACAACATTTGCCCTCTTATTATTGCATTATGTGTAATTTCTATTGATGCTATGCATCCACACTAGAGGACAGCAGCTGTGAAAGCAACTGGATAGTTGTGACACCATGCTATAAACCTGTGTGTGGTGTGAGAACACGAGAGTAAGAAGTGAGCACCTAATAAAGATTTGGACATGCTTGTCATCAAAAAAGCCTCAATGATCTTTGGCTTTTTCTTAATGGCATCAAGCCATTTAGTATACACTACACAAATGCACAATGAAAATGTTTCAGATTTCAAAATGTTTTTCATTGTTCTTGTTTTGTACATTGTGGGTAGTAATCTAATTTAATTAAAGCAATTAAAACGGAATTGAAATTGACTGTGTAGTAACTACACACAAAACTATATGTGGTATGTATGAATTATTCAAGTATGAATTCTTGTCGGCATCTCTTTCCAAGTTATGTGTAATATGCACAAATGTTGGACAAAACTGAAGTTGATAAGCACTTGGAATTACACAAGATGTACTTCTGTGATTGGTCTATTAGAGTTCTTATGTACAGAAATGGAGGGCATGATTACTAAGCGCTTATTTTTTTGTTTTATGTTGGGTGTGCAATAGTGCATCAATATTTTAAGGAATATTTTCAGTGTCACTTCCTGTTTCAGTTTTTTTTGAGGGGTATTCCAAATAAATCACACATTTTACACATATTTTGCAAGAAAGGAAAAAACATTAAACTGTTTGTAAAATTATTAAATGGAAGGTTCATTCAAAAATGAAAATTGTCATCATTTACTCACACTCAAGCTGTTCCAAACCTGTGCCAAGCTGTGTTATATATATATATATATATATATGCAAATTAGTTAAATGCATTACCAGTTATATATAATGTCAGTTTAATAATGTGAGACATTATTAAAATAAATATAACATGTAGAAAACATAATATAAAAAGAATGTATTTTCCAGAAAAAAAAGTATATTACAATTTTTTATAGCACCTTCTAAGATTATATCTACTTTACACCAATGCACTGATTTGCGCTGCTATGCAAATAATATTGACTTTCCACTGATTGAAGCCTATCCATATACACAACAGTCAGTTCTTCAGTATAGCCAAAGCAGGCAGCCTCCTCCCCACGAGTGGAGAAATCCCGCCTTCCAAGCACAGATGTAACACTAAACTGACCAATCAGTGCTAAAATCTGTCTACCACGTGACTATTCGCGAGCATTGGGAAGCGTCCATAGGCGGGGACAATAGTGGGCCTGGCTCGTGCGTTTGGTTGTGTAGGTAAGCCTTGGATGAGATTTTGTGAGTTTTCTATATTATTACTTGAGTATTTGGCTGTTTAATATTAATTCGCTATGTCCATGTAAGCAGACTTGGCGTTTAGAGCCCATGTCTTTATTTTACACTTTTTCTTTAAACCACATAGCGCTGGAATAACAGTTTCCTGTGTGAAAGTAACCGCCTGGATAGCAGCGGTCATTTCTCCTTTGAATAAAATCAGTTATGTGTTCATTTTATAAACAGTCATGCTGTTTTGTATAACACTCACAGACCTCCTTTGACTTTTTACAAGACTCGGAAATATTTTTATATATTTCAGTAGACTTACTGTGTAATTGCTTAAGTGTGAAATTCCGTTAATTTATTAAACGCATTGTTAAATTGACGCTACTAAATAACAAAAGTGTGCCTTCAGATGATTAAAATGCTACAATGATGTATTAACGTCGACAAAAGTTCACAAGCTCTTAACTGACAGTGCATATATAGCTTTATATCTTTTATTCTAGCTATTCCATGTACTTTAATATATTTGACATTACAAAACACTTCCGAAATGTAATTTATAACACGTTGGTTTGTTTCTCCCCCCCTCAGACTCTGAGTAGCTTGTTTTGGACTGGACTGAATCTCACCACACCTTATTTTTTGGACAGCTTCATATACAGATGTTACATCATATTCCACTGGATATGTACATGAAATAGTTTAGGATCCAACTCATATTTTGTTTCTTTCTTCATGGATGGCATGGCTTTTGAAGAAACGTGATTTTTGATAAGTGTTTGCAAACTCGTGGGAAATACTAAGCAAAGTTACTGTTCAAGTGAAGTTTCATTCCAAAGATGGATCAGCAGGCAGCTGGAGGGGAGGACCCAAATAAACCCTCCAAAAAGAAATCCAGTGAGGATGAGAGCAAAAATAAAAAACTGGTATGTATTATATTTTCAGGATTCAATTTGTTGTTGTTATTTTTTAGTTATGCAAAACTAATTATGATATTTTACAACAACATGGGTGTCACATGTGTTTGTAAATGGAAAAAAATGGGGAAAAAAATCATAAATTTTTAGAAACCCTGGGGACAGGCCAAAATGCATTCTCATGGAAAAAGAAAGTAAAATTAACCTGCATTTTTGCTAAAGAGAAATGCCTATAACAACACATAGTACAAGCTGGTCTCAGCTTGTTATTGTTAAAGTCATTGTTTAGACTTGTTCATGAGGGACACAAAAGGCCCCCTTTTTGTGCAGTGACCCTGTCAGAATTTTTTCTGGGCTTTTCTACCTCTGGAGTCCATCCAGATAACTTTAGCGGTGAAGAATTTAACCATTTTTGTTATCGATCAACAAAGTTTCTCTCAAACCTGGAGTATGTTTTCACTGCAAAGATTAACCAGCTCAGTCAGCACTCTCTGATGGAGCTGTTGAACCTATCAGTGTATTACTTCACAGGACCCTGAACCTTGTGATAATGTGCTGTCAAAACACTCTTTGAGTGTCAGTGGGGTCTGGAGTAGTGTTTGTGATAGTGCTGAACCTTTATGGATGGTTACACTTATCTCAAAGGCTTAGTAGTGAAACTAAAACGGTTTGTTTCAGTTCTTGGTTGCTGCCTTTTTGAAAGTTTTATAATGTTGTGGAAAGTTTGCTGACTTACTGACCTCAGGGTGAAGTAGGGCCATGTGATATGTGAAGTTATTTGTCTGTTGTGTCCAGTATCAAGCTTATCAGTGGCGTCATGTGATTTTTAAGAAATACAATGTCTAACCAAAGGCATCAGTAGTAACGGAACAGTCTGTTGGTTAGTGAATGCATGTTAGGTATTTGTCAACTGTTTGATACAGAGCCAAGTATTTTAGTATTACCGTATGTCATACCTGTGGGGAACCGATTACTTCATCACTGTTGCACAGCCTTCTCATGTTTCATATGCCACTTTTAATGACCTGGAATTCGTTTGCTTTGACTTCTAAAATTGGTAATGCTGGTTACTGGATGTAGGACAGTCTATTTCAAGGTGCCTCCTCGTGCATGTATTAATTACTTTACAAGACTGCCTCGCTTCCTGAAAGTTGTGGCCTTGCCTGTAGACTTAACAAAGCCGTCTGAAGATCATTTAGTCATCTTGTAAGGTCTCGGACAGAGCTTATCGTCACAGCAGGGTTCCAGATCAAGCGAGGTGAATGAGTGTTTTAAGTCCGTGAAATCCACATACGCATTGTAACTTTGCTTAACAGCTTGTCTCCAGTCAAATGAGCGTGTCCTGTACCAGCTTCATAATGACAGCGCTCTTTTGGGAGCTGCAGGAATCCATCCGTTTATGAGCTCTATTTACTTTGTGGAATGTAAACCTTTGGAAGCCAGATGGAGACTTTCTGATAGCCGTATTTGTAGCTGTAGTTGAACAGTGCCCTGAAAGTAGTGTGGTAGACATACTACAACTAACTTTTTGTGTCCCAGGCTGCCTCAAATTCTGAGAAATATGGGCATGTTGTTATACTTGTTTATGATTAGTTGGTGTTTAGGTCCTCTTATTCCCACGGAATGGCTAGGAAGTCGACATGAGTGGAGTGGGTGTGGCTTGTGAAGTTGAAATCACTCCACATTTTGTCTACTAGTATAGTGGTTCTCATCCAGGGGACCACGGGCCCGCTAGGGGGTCTCAGCACATTTCCAAGTGTTCTGCAAGATTCAAAACTCAAAAGTGTTCATTTGAAACAGCAAGTCAACAACAGTCTTTAGTACTTAAGTTTTTTCTTAAGAACTGCACTCCCATAGTCTTGGAAATTTTGATTTCTAGTCCAGGGAAAATCATAGAAATTTCTCTATTTTAATATTCACTATTGTATACATTTTTTATTTTTTTTGAAAAGTCTCTTATGATTAGTAAGGTTGCATTTGATCAAAAAAGACAGTAACAACAGTAATATTATGAAATAAAATTTACAATAGCTATTTTCTATTTTATTATTTAAATTTTTTATTTATTCTTGAGATGATACATCTTCATATTATCATTCTACTATGATGATTTTGTGCTCAATAAATTTTTCTTTTTATCAATGTTGAAAACAGGCCTAATTGTTTTGCTTTTTTTCCTGGATTCTTTCAGAAGAACAGCATTTATTTTAAATATATTTTCTGCAACAATGTAAAAGTCTTTTCTGTCACTTTTGATTAATTTTAATGCATACTTGGTGAATAAAAGTATTAATTTCTTTCCAAAAAATAATCATACTGACCCCAAACTTTTGAACAGTAGTGTAAGTGTTATGTTAGTTATATTGATCTCTGTGAGCTCTAGAGGTCGACCGATATGGGTTTTTCACTGGCCGATGTCGATGCTGATATTTAGAAATCAGGGCAGCCGATGGCCGATATATGATGCCGATTTTTGGGCCCGATATTTTGGCCGATTTTTATTTTTTTTCCCTTCATGTCATAAAAGTGAGTTTGAGTAAATGATTATTGCAGGGTACAAGATAGTAATAGTAGTAGTAGCCTAATTCAGAGTAATAGAATTAGTAGGGGTGTAACCCCGGCATCCTGGCCAAATTCGCCCATTGGCCTCTGACCATCGTGGCCTCCTAACCATCCCCATATCTGCTGATTGGCTACATCATTCTGTCTCCTCTCCACCAATAAGCTGGTGTGTGGTGGGCGTTCTGGCGCAATATGGCTGCCATCATCCAGGTGGATGCTGCACACTGGTAGTGGATGAGGAGATACCCCC